CATCACAATGTATTTTAAAGGAGCCTCTAATATTCTAGAAATCTTTCTGTAGGGGGATTATTCCACTCTCAGGATGATATGGAAAATGTCACCAAGACCTAAGGACTGGAGGTACTTTCTTGTGCACGACTCAATTCAGTTGTTTCTTTTTCTGTGCAACAGATACATTCCTATAAGAACCTCCGAGAATTCATTTTCTCAGATATGTTTGCAATCTTTTAAGTGCCGAATTGCATAAGTCTTTTATGTTATGACATTTAATTCCTGTTTTTCTCTAGACTCTGCCAAAAAGAATGAAGGGAGACTCTTCATTATGACTCTGTCTCTTTCTTCAGAGATTCTGAAGTGAGTATTTTCACATGAAGTCATAAAATGACTGGACTTTCAAATTCATAATAATTTTCTTTGACATTTCTGGGCAAAAGAAAATTATAGCACAAGTTCTACAAAGGTTGGGTTTTAGGTACTGTTTGCCTCCAAGCAATAGGAGACAGATTTCCCATGAATATGTAGATGACATGCCTTTTAAAAAAAAACCCAACAACAACAAACCTAAAACCAAACAATGTTGAAAGGGGATTTGGCCAGCTTTCCTTAGTTGTCTCAGTGATAATGACCTTGAAGTCAATGATTTCCTCACAAAGATGATATAAGTTTATTACAACTTGGTTGCATCACCTGAAATATAACCCCTGACTTGGAAACCAGGGCCTTCAGCTTTATGAGGTCTACAAGTGAAAAGGAAATTGATGGAATTAAATCAGCAAATTATTTTGCAATCAGAGCCAACAGTTGTATACCCCTGCACAGCAGCTGCAGTCCATTGTAAAAACAAGTTGGGCTAACCTTTTCTCCTGTCCCTGCATCCCTGGTGGCCTGACCTGAGTTTGGGCCTGCCCATAGGGTCAGTGGTTACTGAAAGCCTGTGCTGATTTGACTGTGCTGGCTATCTAGATGAAAAGGGGGGGGAGAAAGAGTATCACCCATATATTTGAAAGTCCAGAATCTTATTTAAAAAATCTGTATAAATGAGTGATTTCCCCCTCTCTCCCTCCCCTACCCCCTTCAGAAGATGTTTTAATCTGAGGGAGATGAAGTTCAGGTTAGTGACTGGAAATGTCACCTTCTCATCAGATTAAATTTGCCAACAGGTAAAGGATGGGGGGAAAGAGTCTTTCTTTGCAAATGGGCATAATTATGGACTAAGGTCTCTGCTTTGTCTCCACCTAAATGCCACCTTGGCATTTAACATTCAATAGTAAAGATAGAGTGCTTGACTAGGAGTCAGGAAGACCTGAGCCTTGCTTTAGACCTTTCTAGTTGTATGACCTTAGGCAAGTTTTTTGGTCTGTTTCCCAAAAATGGAAATCATGATAGAAGCTACCCTACAGTGTTGTGAGATGACATTATGTAAAGTGCTTTGCAAATCTTAAAGTGTGGCATAAATGCTGGCTATTATTATAATTTTTTCCAAAACAGTTTTGGAAGAAATGGACTCATTTTGACTACATTTAATACAAGGCAAAAGATATATTAAGTTTGATTGGGGGTCAGTTGGCACACTTGGAAATGAATGTTTCAAATAGGCATATCTTCCATGCCTGGACTGAATGAGGCCTACAGTTCATAGAATCATGAGGCCCATCTGGCATTAGGCATCTTTTAAAGCTACTCTTTGTTATGTCTTGTCAAATCTGAACCCATAATGATTATGAAATGATATAAAAGGCTGAAATACTTAGAAACAATTGCAATTTCTTGTGTTTCTGTGCCTTTTGAATCCAGGCCATTCCTATTGATAAGAATATTACAGTTGATCCTTTTTTAAATTAAATTTTTACTTTTGTTAATCAACAAAAATCTGCTTTTTCTCCCTTCCTTTTCCCTCTCCCCTCAATCAAGAAAGAAAGGAAAACAAAATTTCTATTACAAACATGTACAGTCATGCAAAACAAACTGCTGAATTAGTTATGCCCAAAAAGAAAATCTCAATATGTACTATCACCTTTTTATAGTTGATTCTTAAATCTCTTTCTATGAATAGAATATTGATAGGGATCTGAGGCACTTACTCTAATCTAACCCAATTCAATAAGCATTATTTAGTGCCTTAATTTTCATTCCCCAGTAGAATGTGAGCTCCCTGAGAACAGTGGACATTTTTATTTTTTGGTTTTGCCTGGATATCTCCGGTGCCTGCACAGTCCCTTACACATAGTAGGTACTTAATAACGCTTACTGAATTGAACTATGTTCAACTCTTCAACTAACAGTCATGCTAGGTGCTGGAGACAGAAAACACATGATCAGACAAGCATACTAACACATACCCTACCTTCTTTTAGGGTTGCCCTGAAGATAAAATAGAAAAATAAATATGAAAGCATTTTGAAAAGAAATGTATTAATGATATGTATTTTGGCATTATTATAAACATCCATGTGAACAGAAAAGTAGTTTAGAGAGATGTATTATCAATACTGATGTATAAAAAAAGTACTTAAAAGCCTCAAAGGATTATGTAAATTCCAACTTATTATTTGAAATTTAGGCATGTTATAAAAAAAAATAAAGGTTTAGGAAGAAAGAGCTGCCTAAGCTTTCCTAATAGGTAGAGAGGAAAATGTGCAATCAGTCTAAATTCTGATTTAGATCAAAGCTTATAGTTCCAATGTAGACCTATCTTTTCACCATATTGAGGAGGCAAAGAACACATCTTGTTACCTGCAGAGATACTGCTGTGAACCTCTCTCAAGGACAGTTGCAACACATGATTAAATCCTCTACCCCAATGGACTTATGCTGTGACAATATAAAACCCCTAAATTTCCAAAGATGGTAGACACATATTCAATCCCATGAAAGAAGAGTCTACAACATACAAAAGTTTGACTCTCACTGCCCAAATGAAAGTGTCACATTGATTGCATGTACATTGACATACCCATACATGTGCATGTATGTATGCATGTATGCACGCATGAATGTATGTATTAAATTTGGCCCACCATGGATTGCATTGCTCTGTATGCTAAACAATGGTCCCAAGCCCCTTCATGATACAATGGAAAGAGCAGCAAGTTGGAGTTGGAGGACCTTGCTTTAAATTCCACTTCCACTATTGATTATCTGTGTGACCTTGGAAAAATGCCTCTCTAAGCCTCAGTTTCCTCATCTGTGAAATGAGGAGGTTGGAAGAGATGACCTCCAAGGTCTCTTCCAGCTCTACATCTATGAATGCAAATTTATGTTACATAATCTCAACTGGGCTCTCACTGCAGCAAGGCAATCCTTGTACACCTTCCTGATGAGTCTGCTCTACCATTCACCACCGTGGCTATTCCAAACCTCTTCATCCCTCCTCAAGTCTTCCACAGCATCCTTCCCCCTTCCATTTTTAGGTTGGTATCTCTCTTCATACTTCACTGAAAAATTAAGGTTATTTAGTAAGATCTCTCTCTTCTTCCCTCCTCCTTAAACTCGGAGCCCTCAGCCACCTTCTGTCATTATCTTCTCTTTTGTCTTGCAGGAAGAGGTGGTTCTTCTTGTCAAGGCAAATCCCTTACAAGCATTCTGGATCCCATCTCATCTAATCTTTTCCAGTAGATTGATTGCTTTTTCTTATCTCCATTCTTATCCCCAATCTTTCCCTATCTACAGGCTCCTCTGTTGCCTACAAATATGTCCAAGTCTCTTCCCATTCTTAAAAAAACCCTCACTTGCTCCTACCATCCCTGGAGCTATCATACTACATTTCCCTTCCCCCTTCTTAGCTAAACTCCTTGAGAAAGCAAAATATGTTTGCTTCCTCCACTTCCTCTCAGTTGACTCTAAACCCTCTGCAGTCTGGTTTCAAACCTCATCATTGAACAGAAATTGTTCTCTCCAAAGTCATCATCAGTGATCTCTTAACTGCCAACTCTAGTGGCCTTTACTCAGTCCTCCTCCTTCTCGATCTCTCTGCAGTCTTTGACATGGTTGACCTCTTCTCTTTTTGCATATTGTCTCCCATCTGGGTTCTTCTCCTACCTGTCTGATTGCTCCTTCTCATTCTCTCTTGTTGAATTTTGATCCAGGTCATGTTCACTAACTATGGACATCCACTTATCCAACCTGTTGTCAAATCTTATTGTCTTCACAATTAACCTCTCACGTACAGGAAATCCCAAAAGGCTTATGGCAGTTTTAAGCTTTCACAGCTAAAATAGCCGTATAACCCTTTCTCTGAATCAGATACCCTTTCCCTGATGCAGGTTCTCATCGCGCCATGTCTGTATATTTATAAATGCTTCCTGATTAGCCTCCCTTGCTCGTGCCTCTACTTAGCTACCGAAGGGATTTCCCTAAAATGAAGGGCTACCCCCCTTCAGAGATAAACTCCTCCTGTACCCAAAGCCCCTATTTGATAAATTTAATTGGCTCTAGGATCGAATACAAAAACCTTCTATTTGGCATTTGAAGCTCTTCCAAACCTGATCCCTTCCTACTTTTCCAGTCTTACTGCCTGATATGTGCTCTGTGAACCAGCAGCAGAGGCTGTTCCTTATACACACCATTCCATCTCCAATGACCTTGCCATTTCATTGGTCATCTTCCATGCCTGAAATGCTACCTTCCTTCACCTCTGCTTACTCACTTTGGTTGGCTTTTTTGAAGACTCAGTTCAAATCCCACCAATTGTAGCAGGACTTTCTCAGGCTCAACTCTCAACCCCCAACCTCCCCAACAACTACCACTAGTCCTCTGAGGTGACCTTTCATCTACTCTGTATATACAGTATATGTACACAGTTACTTGCAGTTAGCCTGCCCCCTTAAAATGTGAGCTCCATGCAGGCAGGCACTATGTTTTTGTCTTTCTTTGTATTCCCAGGGCTTAGCACAGTGCCTGGAAGATAGCAAAAACTTCATAAATACTGACTGACCTACGTGATCCTATTTTCATATAACAGTTCCTGTGTAGTAACTGTCTTATGTTATTAAAAAAAAACACACACTCACCATTATGGGACATCCCCACAGCAAGGCACTTCTGAAACCTGCAGTACTGACATTTATTTCTACTCTTCTTGTGAATCCGACAGTTCAGGTCACACCGATCATAGATGAGTTTCAAACGGATCGTCCTCCGGAAGAAACCCTGCAAAGGGACAGAGAGAAGAAGCTCATCTTACAAGGTGTCAAGGCCCCTGAAGGGATGCATGGTACATGGTCTGGGGGGACACACACTGGGTTAGTTCCTCGTTCCAGCCCTACCACTAACTTGCTATGTGAACTTGCAAGGGTCCATTTAGGTTAAAGAGTGCAAAGGAAAACAAACACGCAGCAGACCAGGAAGTCAGGAAGCACCAGGTTGGGATGCTGGTTAAGTGAACAGGAACAAGTCACTAAATAGAGTTCAGCTTCAGCTTCCCAAGCCTTCAAATGGGCCGCTAGGTGTCACATTGGATAGAGCACTGGGTCTACAATCACGAAGACCTGAGTTCAAGTCTGGCCTCAGACATTTATTGAGTGTGTGATTGTGGGCCAGGCATTTAACACCTCAATTGTTAAACAAGGATCATGATAGCCCCTGCCCCCCAGGGTCGGTGGGAAGACCAAAAGAGATAATGTTTATAAAACACATAGCATAATGCCTGTCATATAGTAGGATGCTTAATAAATATTTGTTCCTTTCCTTCTCCCTATAAAATTGGGATAATAATACATATGCTACCTATTTCACAGGGGTAGCGAGGTGGCCCAGTGAACAGAGTGCCAGTCCTGGAGTCAGGAAGACCCGAGTTCAAAACTGGCCTCAGATATTTACTAGCTGTGTGACCTTGGGCAAGTCACTTTACCCTCTTTGCCTCAGTTTCCTCATCTGTAAAATAAGCTGGAGAAGTTTATGGCAAACCACTCCAGCCAAGAAAACCTTAAATGGGGTCACAAAAAGCTGGACGTGAGTGAACACACTGAAACGTACTTCACAGAGCTTTTGTAAACCTTAATGCATTAAATGAATGTGACCAGTTACTACTCGCTTCACAGTCTTGGCCTTAGTTGTTTATTTGCTTTTTTAAAAGATTGTAAAATGGTGGGTTGGATTCAGTGATCTCTAAGAGCTTTCCAATTCTGTGCGTATAACCATATTCATCCGGTCACACAGGCCTAGCTCCATCATGGGCCTCCATTTGGTTTTCAGTCTGATCAAGAAGGGTTCTGGATTCAGTGTAATGAGAATAAACCACCATGTAATCAGTTTAACCTCCCTGCAAATCATTTCAGCCACAGGCCCCATCCTTCCCAACTGCACTAAGCGGTTTGGCAAAGTTAGAGTGGTTCCATCCGAGGCCGTGATTGGGGCCAATAAAAATCCACATGTGGATAATTTTGAGGAATTCTCCACATTGCATAATTTCCTGCAGAAATTCATTTCATTTATTTATGCAGGAGGGCCCTGCATTACTGTAGCCCACAGGCATAAGAGCATAATAGGTAACACCATGACAGAATTCCCTAGGAAACCTAGCTCTGTCGTGGAGGCAAAATAAAAAGCCAAGATTCAGAGTAAAACTCTTGGACACTTTCAGCAGTTCAGGGGCAGGTAAAGCTGGACTAAGTGAGCTCTAAAGTCCCTTCCTGTTCTAAAATTCTATTACTCCAATTCTCCTTGTGTTTGGTCTAGGCCTGGGATTTCATCAATTTATAGAAGAGCTGGCGTAGAAACCATGTCTGCTGATGCAGAATGGAATGGCAATATGCAGAAATACGTATGTTCCTCCTGAAATATATAGTCATAAAAATTTTTTGGGGGTACTGAGAGGTAAAATGCCTTGCCCAGAGCCAGACAAATAGTGCATGGCCTTTGAACTACAATCGTCCAGGCAATCAATCAATAAGTATTTGGTAAGCATCTACTGTGTGCTAGGCACTATGCTTGTTTCTGGGGATGCAAAGACACATGAAATAATGTCTACCCTTGAGGACCTTATGTATCTTGGGGAGACATCATGTACATATAAGTATAAATTGTGTGTGTGTGTGTGCATATATACGTATGTATATATAGTATGTGTGTGTATATACATATATATAATTTATACTTACGTATACACTATATGTATATACATACACACACATTAAAATCAAAGGTGATTTTGAGGAGGCAGTGGTAGCAACTTGGGTGGGGGGGTTTGGCTCAGAAAAAGCATAATTGGGAAGAAGCCAGAAATTTCACATGATACTGGGAATATGTGAATGATCCTGAAGAAAAAAAAATAAAAAAGAGTGATCTGGCAGCTTTTAACTGGCCAAGATTATTTATAAGCACTATTTTTCCACATTGGGGTGAAGTGGTTGACAGATGAAGTTGGTTGTTTCCAAAGTATTGAGACAGTAAAGGCTGAAAATCAATCTCTCTCTCTCCCCCTCTCTCTCTGTGTCCTGTAAGAACTCTTCCTTCATGAACTTTTTTTCCCCTTTTTTTTAAGGCAATTGGGGTTAAGTGACTTGCCAGGGTCACACAGCTAGCAAGTGTCAAGTGTTTGGTCTGAGGTCAGATTTGAACTCAGATCCTCCTGACTTTAGGGCCAGTGCTCTATCCACTGCGCCACCTAGCTGCCCCCTTCATGAACTCCTAATCCAATACTGATTCTGGACAGAAAGCCCTTCAGAATGAAAGGTCTAACACCCTGAACACTCCTTCAGCTGGGAAGGACTTTGCGCCTTGTGGAAAGATTTAAAGAACATTCTCTTAAGTTTTTTTTTTCTAATTTATGGACTAAAACAAGCGTTTCCATAACATAGTCTAATACAAGCAGAGCCAAGGGAACGTCATACACAGTAACAGCAATGTTGTTTTCAGCAGTATTTTTTGTTGCAATTACAGCAATATTGTTTGAAGAACATTCTCCTTAAGAACTTTTTCTGCTTCTCGGAGATGGTGAGGTAGTGAAGTGGACAGAGCATTGGGCCTGGGGTCAAGAAGACCTGAGTTCAAACCTGACCTAGGACGCTTATTAGCTTTGTGAACCTGGGCAAGTCACTCTGCTTGCCTCAGTTTCCTCATCTTTAAAATAGGGGTAATAATAGCACTTATCTCACGGGGTTGTTGTCAGGATCAAATGAGATAATAAAGCACTTAGCATAGTGCCTGGCATATAGTAGGCACTTAATAAATGCACATTTCCTTCCTTCCTCCATGTCATATTTTGATCGTATGGACTAAAAGAATGTGGTCTCAGTTCAATTCGACAAACATCTATTCAATGCCTACCATTTGTCAAGGAAAGAAAAATGAAACAGAACATAATCCTTGTCCTTAGGAAGCTTATAATTTAGTGGGAGAGGGTGAAAGGGCAGAATAGAACAGACAAAATAAATTAGAATATGATAGATCCAGAGGAAAGATCAGAGGACCTTAGATTTATAACTAGAAGGAAAATTAGGGCTTACCTAGTCCAACCTTCTCATCTTAGAGTTAAGGAAATTGAAGGTTTACACTGAGGCTTAGAGATAAGGAGACTGAGGAACGAAAACATTCAATGACTTGCTCAGGATCATACAGCTATTAAGTGTTTGAAGTGGATAGGATCTGAACTCACGTCTTCTTGACTTAGGGCCTTCTTCATGGTATGTTAGCTGCAAGTGTCCTGAGCTTTGGAGAAGAATCACAGAAAGCCTCCATGAAGGGGGACTTAGAGGAAGGGAAGTATTTTGATAGTTAATAGCAGTGTGCATGGGGGAATCCATTGTTGGCACGGCAGAGTATATATTTAAAGGTGAGGAGGCAGGTGGGAGAGTCCAGACTAAGACCTGGAAAAGTAATTAATTTAGTTTAACTGGGTCACACACAGTGTACACAGGGGAGAAGTGTGAGATGAGTCTGAAAGGAAAGGTCGTCACCAGATTGTGGAGGGCCTTGAATGCCAGGCTAAAGAATGCATATTTAATTTGGTTAGTAACGGGGAGTCATCCAAGGTTTTTGAGCGTATAAGCACTAGGTGTATAGGGAAGATTATTCAGAAAGTGGAGTCATGAGTGAATTGTGTACAGGAAAGCGTGGAGGTGGGACACTGGTGAGAAGGCTATCAAGATGGTGGAGGTAAAAGGTATTAAATGAGAGCCTACCCTGAGGTGGTTGTAGTAGGAGTGGAAGGGAGGAGACTGGTGATGGCTATCACATAGGGAGGAATCAGCAGGATTTGGGGAAGGGGTGAGGGAGAAGGAGAAGTCAAAGATAACTGAGCTAATAATGAGCCTGCGGGACTGGGAGAATGGTGGTTCCATCAACAACAAAAAGACCATTAGAAGGGGAAGGACTTATCAGGGAAGAGATCTCTGCTCCTTTTTATGGGGTGTAGCTCACTGGAATTCAGCACCTCATTTCCTTGGAATCATCTGCTCTTGTGACAAGCCCTGGATTGTGAATTGGGAAGAGTCCTGCCGCACTTTCTACTCTATAAACTTGGACAAGTAACAGAATGAGTATCCTTTTCAATGGTGACAAGAAGGGGATAAAACTTAAGCCCTGGATGGGATAGAAGTGCTGAGTGCTGTTGACATCTGTTAACTCTACTGATGGTAAATGGCGCAATAGACTCAGGAAGACCTGAGTTCAAATCTGGCCTCTGTAACCCTGGGCATAACCTCTGTTTGCCTCGGTTTCCTTATCTGTAACATGGGATCATAATAGCACCTACCTCCCAGGATTGTTGTGAGGATCAAACGAGATCATAATTATAAAATGTTTAGCACAGTGCCTGGCACAAAGTAAATGCTATATAAATGTTATTATGATCATGATTAATCTTCCAAAAAGAATCACTCTAAGATTACTATCAAACAGAAGACAGATTAGTTTGTTTTTTTCTGCTTGGCCCCAAAGAGTGGAACTAGTAATAGATGAAAGCTGCTGATAGGCAGATTTGGGTTTGAGAAAATTGGAAGAAAATCTTAATAATCTTAGTTATGGTAGGGCAGCTAGGTGGCACAGTGGATACAGCGCCGGTCAGGAAGACCCAAGTTCAAATCTGACCTCGGACATTCACTAGCTCGTATGACCCTGGGCAAGTCGCTTAACTCTGTTTGCGTCAGTTTCCTCAACTGTAAACTGAGCTGGAGAAAGAAATGGCAAACTACTCCAGTATCTTTGCCAAGAAAACCCCAAAATGGGGTCATGGAGAGTTGGATACAAGTGAAGCGACCCAACAGCAACTCAAATTCTATATGACTTCAAGCAGGATCACAGAAAAGCATAGTGGATTGAATGAGGAAGAAGTGGGTTCGAATCCAACTCCAGTAATTAGCTGTATTATTGTGGGCAAATCTACTTTGCCACTCTGAGTTTGTTTTCTCATCTAGATGGGGATGAGTAAAAAGGTCCAAATGGTCATAGTAAAGGGAGACGTCTTCCAGGGTTGTGAGGGTTAAAGAGCAGACCCAGATCAATGTGAGTCACGGTCATTATCACCATTCTTCTTCATTCCATAGTGTGGCTAAATGTATTGAAAATCCAAGTACTGGTTTAAATAGCGATTTATATTCCTCTACAAAGTTTATTTCAAGGAGTCATTCTATACTGCAGGAGGGAACAGCTGGAAGGACCTTTAGAAACTACATAGTCCAGTTCTCTCGTTTTACAGATGAAGCAAGTGAGGCTTCACAAAAAAAAAAATGAGGCTTGCTTGAGGTCATGAAACTACTTAGCAGTTGCATTGCACCCAGAACCCAGGTCTACTTATGCCCAGCAATGGCAGCCTGATTGTATAAATGCCTACAGTTTTCAATTTCTTTGTCTTTTCTTTCACAGGATATACTTTGATCTTTTAATTAAATTTTTAGGGGGCAAGAGAAACAGCACTTATTCCACAAGGGGCTTATTCATATTCCATTTGCTCCAAGCACTGACAGGGGGCATATGTGCAAGTCATTGTATTTCTCTGAATTATTCTATTCCAAGAATATTTCCGCGAGTGATTATTGCAAAAGAATGCACATGGTGAAATGTAGTTGGATTGATACGCTTGTCAATAAGGAGACAGAATATTACTTGCTTTAGACAGCTAGATAGAAGTTTATAAAATGCAAGTGAGATGGTTAGATTGAATATTATTAGACTTGGAAGGAAAAAAAAATCAAGTTTCTCTTCTGTGTATTTTTCCCCAATGGATGAGATTCAATGTTTTTATTCTTTGTAAAGTGCTCAAGACTTAAAGAATAAGCTCTTTGTGAAAAACATTTGCAATTGGGAAGACAAATGGTAAAGCCCAAGTCCTCAGCCAGTGGTGGGGAAAGAATGGATTTGGGTTCAAATTCTGTCAGTCTTCACCTTGCGTGACTTGGGTCAAATTATATAACCACTTGGGGGGGCTCAGTTTCTTCATCTGAAGATTAGATGGACTAGATGACCTCTGGGGTATGTTTCATCTCAAAATCTATGATACTGTGATTCCTTCCCCTGCACAGTCCTTACTATGCCTACTGGAGTCAGGAGACCTGAGTTCAAATCCAGCCTCAGACACTTACTAGCTTGTATGATACTGGGCAAATCACTTAACCATGTTTGCCTCAGTTTTCTCACCTGTAAACTGAGCTGGAGAAGCATCCCATTTTGGTGCCAGGAATACGACAACAATTCAAATCTCAATGCAAAACTGAGACCAATTTGCTTATTCTGCATTTTAGACATTAAGAAACTTCCAAAATTTTACCAAACAAATTTCTTTTCCTTTGTCTCATCCATTGAGAAAATTTCTTCTCCTTTTCTCATAGCTGTATTATTTTCACTTTACTTTAAAAAAATACTTTTCACTGTGCTTTGTGGTCATTACTGTGGGTCTGCTTAAAGATTTACCGATGGAACCAGGACAAAGGCCATAGGTGGTCACGTCAATGCATCCCCCGAGCCATCCCCCTTAATGTGAGTAGAGCAGAGAAATGATCAGCAAGTTCTTTGAAGACAAAGACAAAAGAGGTCACCATTTTTACCTTGCAGCCTTCACAAGCATGTACTCCATAGTGGAACCCAGAAGCTTTATCCCCACAGACTCGGCATTCAATGGCCATCAGGGAGTTAGAGGATTCTTCATGAGGCTTATTGTAGAGCTGACTTTTTTCTGAATAGTAAGGAGGGGATGGAGGTTCCACTTTGATAGCGCCTGCATATGGAAGAGCATCGACAAGACCAGGATTTTAGTTGGAAGCAAACGCTAGAGGTGACACAGGCACTGGGGCATCACATAGCCTAATGCTAATGTTAGGACGCCAGGAGTAGTGGAGGTGATCTTGCTGCACGCGGATAGTACTAGTCTTTTGTTACAGCATTAGTACGGTCTCCAAGTTCAGTAAGTCTGGAGGCAGGGAAGCTAGCCTTTATATAGGTTTTGAGGAGTCGGAACTCCGGGGATCTGGTCTTTGAGCTTCGGATAGAAGTATGAGAGTAGACACTGCTAGGGAGAGGAAGGCAAGCACACGATCAGGGAACTATAGTGCTAGGAAAACATTAGGGACTTGTTGGAGTTGGGGATGGGTTGGAAGATTGACTAGTACCTGCAAATAAATGAAAGGCAGTCATAGACTTGGGGATTGTACTCATTCTGCTCAGCCTCAGAGGGCAGAACTAGTTTGGGCCAAGTATAAGGAAAACGCTCCGAACAATTAGATCTGCCCAAAAGTAGAATAGTAGTTTCAACCAGTAACTTTTACATCATTGAAGGTATTCAATCAGAAGCTGGGATGACTACTTGTTGGGAATTCCTGTTGAGTCAAGAACTGGATTACATGGCCCCTGAGGTTCCTCAGAGTTCCAAGATCCTAAGATGTATCTTGATAAAATTTTGCTCTTTAGATGTAGCTTGAAATCCTGTTTACAAGATAAACCCATCACAGGGGCTTCCCAGTGAGAATGGAGCAGGTGTGCTTGACTTAGAGGGACATGAGACCGATTAGCTCCCCATTATTGCACTAGGAGAAATAGTTTTAAAATGATTCTCCTGAGTCAGAGTATCTCTAGAGAGTAAGCAATTTATTGCCTTTTTACCAATAGAACCAGGCCCATTTAATGGTAGCCTCAACATCTAACTAGAAGCCACACAGATAAATCCATCCAAGTTTAAGCTAGAAATACAGGAAGCTCATGAATTCTCACTAATCCCCAAAAGATGCTTGTTAAATTCAACCAAAATGAGAGCATTGCTGGCTGCATTCATGGCTTTGTAAATCTGACTTATAAGCATATACGTCTGCAAAAAAGAAAAGTCAAGAAAATGTAATTCATTTTGACAAAGCTATTCTAATAATATTCCAGAGTCAATTTGGAAAAAACACAAGACCTAGCAACACCTTGAAATCTTCTACATTTATATTTGTTCTGGAAAATAAGGTTTCAGTGAGACCTTAGTATTTTCAGGATGAATAAATAATAGTAAGTAAGAGATATTTAGTAAATACTGGAATCTAGAATTGTAACTGGTCAAAGAAACTCAAGAGGCTAGATTTCTTTAGACTGGAAGACAACCGGTATTGTAGGCCAAGTCTGCTACTGGCCAGAATTAAAAAGATGCATGAAAGGAATCTGAAAAATTAAGATAGATCTTAGTGCATAGCACAGTGCCTGACACGTAGGAGGTGCTTAATAAATGCTAATTGACTGATCATAAGATAACCTAAGAAAGCATGGCCTTCTAGTAAGATAAATGATTTCAAAAGTGAAACATGAAGTTCTGACACTTTTATCTTCTGTCTGTTATGGAAGGAGGAGCTATAAAGAGGAGGTAAAAATACATCTAATTTAGAGATTGACTTGGGTTAACAAATTCCTTTTTAAAAATGCTAATCCTATTTAAACGTCTAATTGTAACACTTATGTGGGAAAGGTAAGTAATTCATGCCTTCCAGAATTATCTTATTCAAAATTCTTTCCATTCCTCATCCTGAGCTGAGCTGACCTACTGGGACACCTGGAATTCTGATGCCTGTTCTATTGTGTCTATGTCTGGAATATAAAGTTCTAGATAGAGTCTAGCATAATTACTATCTGAGCAATGTGGAATATGAAAATAAAGTTCATACTTGGGCACTCTTGGAGTTTCAGGTCATACTTGTAATCAGGAACCATTGAGTCAGCCCTTGTGAATGGAATGTCTTCATAATGTGGGGTAGAAATGCTGGAGAAGTCAACAGTGCTGAAAGGCTTGATGTCAAAGGAGTGGGAGTGGTCATCCATGACAGACAGATCCACGGAGCTGATCCCAAAGTTGGTGGGCCAAAATGGCATCTCTGTGTCAACCATGGCAATGTCTGTAACAAAAAGTGAAAACAGATGATAATAGGTATGAAGTTTAGAGCTGAGACCTAGAGTAAAGCAATCTACCAATGAAATGGCTCTACGGAAAGGGAAGGGAGGGTGAAGGGGAAGGGAAGAAGCTTTGATAGTGATTAACCTTTTCTAGGCAAAGACAATAATGGAAACCTTATCTTCAGGAGCACTTTCTCAACACCATTTTCTACATTCGAGGGAAGGGGTGTTCAACACATTTACCTTGTTGTCATAAGACAATCTTAGGACAACAGTGCTGTGTACGGTATTTTACAAACAGCCCTGCTGTCATTTAATTTTAGTGATTGCAACTTCTACCACTCCACCAATACAGATCATTAATAATGAAAACAACAATAACCTCATATCCAGAAACTCCTTTGATTTCTCAAAATTGAAGGCCCTAAATATATCCCTTTGCATGCAAAATGTTGATTAGTGTCCTGCAACATTCTTTAAATGCGAGTATTATTTGCATTTTAGTAATTTGGTTCATATTTTAACTGTGTCAAGGAGAAAGAATACTATTTAGAGGCACATTTCAGGAAATCTCTTCCTAAGAGAGCTAGATTTGACCTAGTCAGTCAACAAACATTTATGGAATGCTTTGCAATATACCGGACTAGAAATGTAGGAAGGGGCCAGATTAGCTTTCAAAGCTAAATAGATGAGTTTGCATTTGATCCTGGAGGGATGTGTGTGTGTGTGTGTGTGTGTGTGTGTGTGTGTGTGTGTGACAGAGAGAGAGAGAGAGAGAAACAGAGAAACAGAGACAGAGAAAGCTCTAAATGCTTTATAAAAGTCATTTAGGTAGATGAGTGGAGGATAGATTGGAGTGGGAAGAGATCTGAGGCAGGGATACCAGTTAGAAGGCTATTGCAACAGTCCAGGTGAGAGGTGATAAGGCCCTTACTAGGGTGGTAGTCAGTGGAGTGGAAAGGAGACATATGCAAAATACTGAGAAGAGAGGAATGACAAGAGATTGGCTATAGAGGCTGGGTGAAAAGGGGGAGTTGAGAGTGGTATTGAGCCTGGGTGACCAGGAGGGTGGTGATGCCCTTGACAGTATTAGCGAAGGTTGGAAGAGAGACCCAGAACGTAATCCTGGCTACAAAACTTATTTGAGCAAATTGTTTTTAGTTTCCTCATCTGTGATATGGGGATAATAATATGTACACTACCCATATCAGCTGTGACTAGCTGTGAAGAAAGCACTTTGGAAATCTGAAAGCATTCTGTAAATGTGAACTATTATTTCCCCTAATATTTCTGCAACGTGGAGTCTAGTTTTCTTAAAGAGGAATCGTACATTATTATTAAGGTCAGGGTTTCCTTTTAATAGCTAATGAGAGTTGGCATTTGTATAGAACTCTAAGGTTTGCAAAACACTTTACATGTTATCTCATTTGATTCTCACAACAATGCTGTGAAGTAGGTGCTGTTATCATCCCTATTTTACAGATGAGGAAACAGGGTTAGAGAAGCCAAATGGTTTGCCCAGGGTCACACAGCTATTAAGTGTCTGAGGTGAGATTTGAACTTAGGTCTTCCCGTATCCAAATTCAGTATTCTTTGCATTCTGCCACCTGGCTGTTTGCTAACACCTGCCTTTTGAAGTATTTCCTTTAACAACTGACCAAACGTAGGGGACAGTGAGGATGTGTTGGAGACAGACATCATAAGAACTGAGAGTTATGGGGAATAAAAATCTAACTTTGCATTTTTAGAAGAAACTTCTCAGGGAAGAAATTATTGATTCTCCAAAAGCCCTGGGAAGCAATGCTATTTAAATAAGGCAGAACCGAGCTGCCTTCCCAGGGTTTCTGCTTGGGATGCTAGATAGCCTTCTAAATCTCTGCTGAGTAATCATGCCGGTGAAATAAAACATAGACACAGGCTTGATTCTGAGCATTTAGCATGGACTTATGACCCACTCACTGCAGTCTGTTAGACTTTAAACTTTTATATAAGAGGAATCTGTCTGACTTGGTTTACTTGGAACCAGCTCATACTATTTAGAAGTGTAGCCAAAAATGTCAGTCACTACAAATTTTAAATTTTAACTCTTTTGTCAAGGATTTGGGGAAGGGAAAGGGGGGGGAGCCTTGGTTCACTGAAATTGAGGGAGGACTGAGAGAGGAGGCAAAGAGGGCATGGGAGCTGAGGGGGGCTAAGGCAGGGGACTAGCGGTGCACAATCAGAGGGACAGGAGTGGGATGGCTCTACCTAAAAGGGTCTTTCATAGCCCCCTTTGGAAATGTGGTGAAGCCCATGGACCTTTCCACAGAATAATGCTTTTTAAACGCACAAACTAAAAGGCTAAGGTTACAAAGGAATTAAATGAACAACACCAAGTGTGTGGACCCCAGGTGAAGAATCCCTGCCTTGCTTTAAGTGGCAACAAACATATCCCCCATGCACTCCCTGACCTTGGTGGAGTAAAATATTCCATATCTGGAATGATCTGTGCCTGGTAGCATCTGAATAGATGGGAAATCAGCAATATTCAAGAGACCCTTCTTCCATGTAGTTATAGAGAGGACATAGCACTATGGTCTAGTGGGAAAGACAATGAGGTGGTGACAGAGCCAGGTCTAGATCCCACTGTGTTCTAGATCATGTTCTTTCACTAAGTAGCTCCATGACCTTCACTACATCCCTTCATCTCTCTGAGACTTGGTTTCTCTCATCTGAAACCTGAGGTGGTGGGATTTGCTGGTATCTCTACTTGCTGTTAACATGCCAGGATTCTTTGGTTCCATCCTTATTCTGATTTATTTCAATCTCATGAGCAGAGGACTTGTTCTGAAAGGTTAGGGAACAGTCATGCTAAAATAAGGTCGAATTGGGAGTCTTTATGAAATAAACAAAGTGCCCAGAGAGCATTTATTTAAAAAAAGAGAGAGAGAAAGGAACTTTGAACATGCTACAGTGGTCCCAGGAGGAGATATTGGGCACTCACACTGTTCACATGTCTGAATGTCTACACAAACAAAAACCCAAACAACCCCAAGTTATCTGGATTACAGTGTAAACAGTACAGGAAAGGGGGAATGTGTGTTGGTGATGGCTTAAAGGTCATCTCTCTTTCTCAATGACATGCAGAGAAAAGTCAGTCCTCCAAGTGATGGGAACTCAACAGACGACATCTCCCCTTTCAAAACTCACCTCCACAATGGAGCCTAAACCTACAAATCTGAGCCATTCGGATCCCCTTCAGCTCCCTACGTGGCCTCCCTGCACTGGTTTGTTAATTCATTTTGTTTAGCTAGGTATATATTTCAAGCCTTCAAAATACCTATGAGCTCAGGCTTAAGGAGTATGAACTTCACCAGTGCTAACTAAAATCTTTTCATGCCTTAGTGGATAGTTTCATGAATGTCAGGGCCAACTATATTCATTGCCCCATGGCCAGCCTTCTGGTGATGCACCTCTCAAAATTAGATCAGAATGCATGAAGAGAAGGAACATGAGATAAGGTATGGCGGAACAGGACTGTGAAGGGGCTTGAAAGTCAAGAAAAGGAGTTTGGTCTTTAATTGGTAGGCCCTGGGGGAGCCATTGACAAAGCAGAGCCTGTCACTGTGTCTTTGTATCAGGACCTAGGCACTGGACATAGCACTTAATAAATGCACTTAACGGCTGGCACTTGCTGCTAGAATAATAGAATTTTAAGTTAGGAAGAACCTTGGAGATCAGTTTGTCAAACATTTATTTTTACCAATGAGGAGACTGAGGCCCAGAGAGTGATCTTCCCATAGTAGTGAGAAATATAGCCAGGATTTGAATCCAGGGCTTCAGACATCTGTATCACCATCTATTATCATGCTTTCTCTTCTAGCTCAGTAGAAGGTGGCTAGGGCTTGTGTTTCACTGGCACAGACTACAAGGAACTATGCCCTAAAGCAGGCCTTTGGTGAAGGGTGTCCAAAGAAGGAGAAAGACTAATACAGTAGAAAGAATACTGAATCTGGAGTCTAGAGACCTTAGCCTGAATTTCAGCTCTGCTGCCTACTTAGCTGTGTGACCTTGGGCAAGCAACCTGACCCTCTATGTCTCATTTTCCTCATCTCTTGTTGAACTAGACAGCCTTATGATCTCTTGCAACTCTAGAACAATGACCCCATGAACACAAATCTATTTAAATTCTAAGATTGTTGTTCAGTCATTTTCAGTTATGTCTGATTCTTCATGACCCCATTTGGGGTTGTGTCTTGGCAAAGATACTGGAGGGGTTTGCCATCTTGTTCTCCAGCTTATTTTACAGATGAGGAAACTGAGGCAAACAGGGCTAAGTGACTTGTTCAGAGTCACACAGCTAGTATCTGAAGCCTGATTTGAACTCAGGTCTTCCTGACTCGAGGCCTGGGGCTTTAACTACTGTGTCACCTAGTTGCCTAATATTCCCACTGTAATTTCCTATAATGTTCGGGGCTGACTATCTGAAGTCAGGTTTAAAGTACATGTGCTAGGGATAGATCCTAGATGACACAGTGGATAGACCTGAGTTCAAATTTAGCCTCAGACACTTACTAGCTCTGTGACCCTGGGGAAGTTACTTAACCCAGATTGCCTCCAAAATATTAAAATAAAGTACATGTGCTTAGGATCAGAGAAACAGGATTTTAAGAGCTGGAAGGGACCTTAGAAATCATTCTTAGTGAACCATTGAAATGGTGTCTTGGGGAAATAGATATTAAAAAAAAAACTAAGTTGAAGGAATAACTGGTTGATAACTAATACACTTGTTTTAAACCATTAAAAAATTTTAAAGCACATTTAGTAGACCAGAACAGGAAAAATTTTAGTTTATCCATAATAAGGTAAAAAATTATCTGGAATGGAATAAGCACCTATGTGGCACACGTGAGGTGTCAGACACTGTGCTAAGCGCTTTTACCAAATGTTATCTCATTTAATCCTTGTAATAACTCAGCAAGGTAAGTACTATTTTGTTGTTTAGTCCTGTCCAACTCCTCAT